CCCCCGCCCGATGTTTGTTTGACTCTAGGGAAAAAATGTGATTGAAAACAACCCACATTCATTTGAAGAATGAAGCCGTTTTGTGTAAAATGTCCACCAAAGCCTCATGGTCAAAACGCATTTGCAGCTGGCTCCATCGGGGGCTAACTAATGATTTTTTTCTTTTGTTTTGAGCGGCTGTTCCTTCACTTTTTAATGGTTTGAAAATGTGCAAAATACCAGATGATCAACGTCACCATCAGCTCATGAATTTAAAAAAAAAAAAAAAAAAAAAAAAGTGCTCATACCTGAAAGAGGATGACGAAAGCCAGTCGCGCTGCAAGGACACACCAGTACTGTTTGGAGAAGTGGTACGCATCGGGGGCCCAGGGGGGTTCCCTGTAGTCCTTATACCTGGGGTGGGGGGTACGGGGCAGGGGGTGTATTTCATTAAAGCGTCCACCCCCCTCACCTTCAAGGGTCATGCATCTTTATTCAGATTCCTTTCCGCTATCCGCTTTGTAGTAACCACTCTATAGTAAACACACGATGTTCAACTTTTCATTTGGTGGTACCGTATTTTCCGCACGATAAGGCGCTTGGAAGTATAAGGCGCACCTTCAACGAATGGCCGATTTAAAAATCGTTTTCATAGATAGGGCACACCGCATTATAAGCCGCACAGAATCGAAGCTACAATAGTGGCTGCGGTTGCGGTATGCATCCGCTAGAGGGAGCTACGCTAAAGGGAATACAATACAATACAGCTTGATTTCTATCAAGTTTTCACAACCGCCGCAGCTGTGAAAATACTTCGTTGAAGAAATCTGAATTTTGATCCATATAGAAAATGCATCGGATTATAAGGCGCACTTAAAAAAAAAATTTTTACTACTTTTTCGTGCGCCTTATAATGCGGAAAATACGGTATGTGGATGCCAACTATATAAACTATACCACAGCCTTAAGATTATAGATGAGGCAAAAATATTTTGTGACAATAAAATGACCCCCCACCTCCGAAAAAAACACGATAACTAATCACTATTGACTGTACTTAACAGTAAACGCAATGTCACATTGAAGATGATTGATGAAACGAATTCCTGGTTTCGAACATTCACACACTCCTCTATGAATAGAACCCACTAAAGGCAGACTAGGATGCTATATAGAAATAAAAAATATGCGTGTGCGCTCCTCTTCATTCTCCTTATACAGTCATGTGTAAGGAATGCTTTTTTTTTTTTCCCTCCTAATCCGAATTATTTATCCTGTTTGTCACTCTCATGCCAGCGTCTTCATATGTTGCCGCACATATCATTGTTGACATAGTGCAGCGAGCCGAGCTGGAGGGTGAGCTTCGTATGTCTCCATGTTTGGCGATAAGGGCGCAGGTTTTGCAGCAACGGGAGCATCAATATTATTTCAGAAGACACCTCAGAGATTACGATAAATGCAGTGAGAGATGGTTTGCCTCATGGGACATGATGTAACATCGGCAGTCAAAGCAAGGGTCAACCTATTGCCGTCCTGAAAAAACACAGATAATCCACATTCCCTCCGAATGGTACAATTTCGTTTGGTTTACCAGAACGGTGCCTACATACGGAAAATGTGTTTTTCTTTTGGAGATTCCATTACTTTAGAGTGCCTTGTTGTCAGTCGCGAGTACATGTATGAAAGCGAAAGAGCAAGTGGAGGAATAAAAAAAGGCTGTCAGACATGACTGGCGGGACACTTTAGAGTGCCTCGTTGTTGCAAACGCAATATTTGTAGGAAGGAAAATGAATTTCGATCAGCGTTTGACCCCCTTTGATCTTGAGTGGAACCCCAAGTTACTTCCTTCCTCCCATCATCCACTGTGTGCCCGGGCAGACAGGACAAAGCAATGAAGTGTCTCGGGCGTTTGACATCGAGGGGCAAAAGGGTTGAACGGTTTGGCTTGAGCCTTGAGGCGTCATCAGCAACACGTTTGGACACACTCGGACCCTTATGGGAGGCCCTAATAGCCAATTACACGGCTGCGAGTAGTCGAGGGGTACGTCATGCTCGAGACAGGCACCGGCACAAAGACTGGCATTCTTTTACGGTCACTACGGGGTATCTTGCGTAAGCGGAGGTCACACTCCACTGTCTGTTAGGCGTTTGTATCCGGGACCCTTTTCAGTCCGGGGCGATGGAGATCGCGATTATGAAGTAGTGATGCATGAAATGCACATTGTGACGTCGTTTCATTATCAGACAAGAGTCTTTTTACGCGCCGTAAGGTGGGGGAAAGTAGGTGTTTTTTTTTTTTACCTACAGACGGTGACATCGCCGTGGTCGGAATTCTGCGGCGCTGTGCCGGGTTTGAAGTTGGAGACGTTGAAGTAGGAGAGCGTGTGGTCGATGAAGCCGTGCATGGTCCCCGACTGGCTGTACATGTACTGGTAGACGAGGCGAGGGATGAAGTCCGACGTGAAGGATATCACAAAGGCCTCCGGGGGCGAAAGGGGAGTCAAGAGGGTGAGGAATTAGCATTTGCAGTTAGTCACAATTCAAGTTTGTTCACAGAGCAATTTGAGAGATCGTTTCGATTAGACACGGATATGGCCTGACTAAATGATGCTCCTTCCCTCACTTCAACACAGTTCCTTGGCGCCAAGGTGTCACAAGATGGACATTTTTTTTCTTTTTTTTAAATTTCATTCAGTTTTTCCAGCAAATAATGGACGATGGCTTCCAAAAAAAGAAAATTGAGAATCCGCAGAGGGACATTTTAAGACGTTTTGGAACATTCTTGTTTGGTCCAATTATTGTTGGGAAACACTCTTCTAAAAGTGGGACAAAGGATAATAATCTTTCAGCTTTTAATTGTTTGGCGGCCAGTTTGACGAGCTTTTTTTTTTTCTTTTCTGGCACCATGTGACCTTGGAAGACATGTTGGAAACAAAGATAACCGATTTCAGGGAGGCTAATTTTCATCAGCACTCGTGACGGGGGGGAATTCACATCTTAATCCATCAGGTGGCAGATGCCTCAAAGCTCGAGGGGGCTTGTAAATTTAAAATGCAAATGACTTTTCAAGGCATGAATAGCTCATAACTCTTTGTACAGACTTTTCTCCGATATTAAAGTGTAACTAGAAGCACTCGGGACAGGGGGAATGTTGCCACCGTGTTCCAAAAATCCTCTCAGGGAAGATTAAGTTGCGGTTCCCAGGGTTGGGCAACTGCAGTCCTTTTTAGATGATTAGCATGACCAGCTCATCAACAAGCTCTGCAGAAGTCTGATCCCGGTCCTGATCATTTGAATCGGGTGTGTAGGAAGAGGGCACGATCTAAAACAGGCAAAAGAGCGGACCTCGAGTACCGGAGATGCTAACCCATGACCGCTAACGCCACATAAATCTGCCATGATTGAAAGTTAACTTGCCAGCTTTGTGTTTGTTCCTTTTTTTTCTTCTTTTATCATCTAATTAAATTGAATGTAACAGTCTGGATCATATCTACAAAATAAATAAAAATAGGCAGATATATGATGAACCTGTATCGTGTTGCCATGGTAATGGCAGGGATGCTCTACTTAAATACAAACCAGCCTAACAATAAAATGAACGTTTAAGAGTTGCCTTTACTTACATTTATTATGACGGAGAATTTGCCCATGCCACTCAGTATATTGTACCATATGCCTATGGGAAAAAAAAAATTGTAATAATCAGTGGCGGGAATTATGATGCATAAAGTGAACAAACAAAACTGCAAAGACCTTTTTTAATGTAGCAGAGTGACTCTAACACGAGTCATACTTGGAGAACTAAGTCATTTCTTCGGTGGTATCAAAGTTTGAGAACCACTTCTTTCACAAGCTCATTGTTTGAGGTGCCATGGAGGACTTTATTGATTTCCAATTAATATATGAACCATATTTTCCGAACGATAAAGGCACTTCGGAGTACAAGGTGCACCTTCAATGAATGGCCTATTTTAAAACTGCTTTCATATATAGGGCGCATAGAATAGAAGCTACAATAGTGGCTGCGGTTGCGCTATGCTTCCACTAGATGGTGCCACGCTAAAGGGAATACAATACAATACAGCTTTATTTCTCTAGAGCCTTCACAACCGCTGCAGATGTCACAAAGCTCTTTAAAATATTACGTCCAAGAAACCAGAATATTGATAAACCGCTGCAGATGTCACAAAGCTCTTTACGGAACGTTTAAAATATTACGTCCAAGAAACCAGAATATTGATCCATATATCAGGCGTCTCGGATGACAAGGCGCACTGAGAAAATTGAATGCTTTTAGGTGCGCCTTGTCGTGCGGAAAATACGGTACTTGCTGGGACTGAACCCATTAAGCCTGTATGGCTTCATGAACAAGAGGAGAGGGCCATACCAGAACATGCTACCCTCCCACTGACTTTCAGACAAGCAGAGAGCCCTTGAAAAGCCTCCGGATGAAGTGTAGCTTGAACTCCGGTCACGCAGGAATCAAAGTAGATTTGCAGTGACTACAAGAAGGAGCTGCGGGGATTTGTGAAATCTGCTCCCTCTCTGCCCTGCCGACCCCCCCTGCTTCCCCCCCCCCCCTCAAGTCACAGCAGACCTTGCAAGAATTTGAATCGGTCACTTTTTTTTTTTTTCCTGAGGATTCCAATTCGAATTTTTTTGGTCAGGTTGAAATGATATGACAAAAATCGAATTTTTACCCATTCACATTGCAGAAAAGGATACATGCCCGCTCCATCTGTATGATGGTCATCATGCATTTCCACAACGAAACAACAGATTAGCTGCTATTTTCAAACCAATACTGTACTTTGAATTTGAACTCCCCCCTGCCCAAATTAAAAAAAAAAAAAAAAAAAAAAAAAAACCATAGACCGGTTTTACCGATGTCTTTGGCACGGGCAGCGACCGGCCGGCGGAGCTCCGTAACAAACTTCTTGGCATCCAGCCGGATCTCGATCACGTTGTTCAGCAGTGCGAAAAGAGGAGCAAGAGGGAAGGAGGCCACAAACAGCGAGACAAAGCCAAACTGGATAACTGTGCGGGGGGGAGGTAGGAGGGGAGAGAAAGACAGAGCGAACCCCGCCGTTAAAAATTTTCGACCTGCTTTCGACCCGCGACTTTTTATGATTTCTCGTAACACGTCTTTTATGACTGGCACAGATGCCTTTTAAGGTTAAACACGCCAAAAGCGCCGCTGCAGCTAAAACGGGACTTTTCATGGAACGACTACATACAAAAGGTGATATTTCAAAAACGGTGGCATCAAAATTCACTATTTGAATTGAATGATTCGCAAACATTACTTTCATGTAATGGTGAATTGGAATTCCTGCAATTTAGTTTCCTAGAAAGGAAATTTGAGCTGCAAGAGCACAAATATGTAAGCTCAGCAAAAACAGGAAAATGTAACAACAATGCAACACAAAAAAAAAAAAATACAAATTAAAAAATGGGGGTGTTTTTTTTGAAAGGACGACGTATAGATGACATTGAGGGAGACGAGCCGAGCTGGTCTGCGCGGTGGAATTTAAGCAGTGTGAGAAACGGGGATTTCCACCCAGACGGACAGCGGCGGCTTTTCGGGACTCCACGCGACGAGACAAAGAGACGTAACAGAGGAGACAAGAGGCGAGGCGAGCGCCAGAGGGGGCGAGCTTATCGCCTCACTAGTCCACCTGACCCGCTGTTGCTGAGTGCTATGGCAGCGACTTTTCACGACTAAATTTCAGCTGTTCAAGTCAAATAAAGGCCTGTCCTATTGCAATTAGTCCAAACCAATCAGTACGAAGGCCGCAGGAGTTTGCGATTAACGCATCGGTTTTGCGCGGATGTGCGTCTTTATCGCAGGCTCACTCATTTCCATGTATTCGGGCGTGAGGCCCTCGAAGGGAGCGAGAGCGTAGTCCAGGTTCCACTGCTGCGGAGGCCTCTCCTCTTCCTCCTCCTTCTCGGCGCCTCCTTTATCCTTCAGCGTACGCACCAGCTTCTTCAACTTCCTGTCGGGGTGGACAACTGTACATTACACCACCCACTAGTAGCCCCCGCATGGCCGGCGATGTAAGAAAGTCATCGCTTGTTTGCGCAAACTCCTGGACACTTACGGGATGCCGATCTCAAAGATGTTGTTTTGGATGAGCTGCTTCCCGAGCATGATGATGCTGAGCTGAATGCACAACTCAATGAGGCAGCCTCCTGGTGCACACTGAAGGAAAACACACACACACACACACACACACACACACACACACACACACACACACACACACACACACACACATTTTTGACCATGCATTCTTGATCAGGTGATGCGCCGCAGATTGACATAAACGATTCACGCTCACCTCTTCCATTCGATAATCGTTAAAGACATACACATAACTTCCCGGTCGACCTGCAAACCTGAAGTACACTCAGCGTTAATTTCAATTATGGGCTGATGCAATATTGCAGAAATCCCACAACATACCGTCCCTTGAAGAACGCCACGTAAAAAATGGGCGCGTATGCATTCATGAACTTGAGTAAAAAGGCTTTGAGGATGAGACGCTCCTCAAAGTTGGTCTCCGTTTTAGGAATTTCTGGAAAACAGTCAATTAAGTTCAGGGTAGACAATCTACCAATACATCCTTTCACTAAGACATTCATTGATTGAATTTGCAGAGAAGATGGCAGAATTAATTTTTCTGTCAATGATAGCAGGTCGTCCAGGCCCTGATGAGCAAAGCAGGCCTAAACCACGATGCCCGCACCATCATACTTGCTCTTGTTCTTTTGCAAACTTCAAATCTGAAGAAATGGGTGCCTTTGTGGTGTCCTCACATGCATCTACTCTTATTTAATCTTTTACTGATCATACATTTGTCATCAGAGGTGTTGGCTGGTGCCAGAGATTTAGCCGAAACGCGAGGTGACAGGCCAACCAGTCCTAGGGAGAGTAGCAACGGTTGCTGAACTTCTTCTATTAATGGACAGGATATTTTACCACAGGCTTATGAACATCAATGATTTTATCGACATTTGTGTGACTATTTTCAGCTTTATGCTCATTAATAATGCATAATTGTTGGCCATGGGTCACATTGGGCAATGCTTTTTGAGAAAAGCAAACTGAAGAAAAACGCGTTACTTGTATTGTGACGAAGAGGAGAATCAGCCGACACCATTTGACCAATTTATGCAGAAATTTTCCAGCGAAGACATACCAAGCTCTGTCAGCCACACCGCCACAGCGCCGTAGATCTCATCCAGGATGAGAATAACCACCAAGTTGATGATGACCGCCGTAGCCGTCACCGTCACGCGCACGTTGGACTTTGTCTCCGGGTCGGGGCTCATGGCCATCAGCGCCGACACTGTGATGCGGTAGATGATGACGCCGAAAACGGCCGAGAAGGTCAGACCAAACTATGGGCAAAGAGAGAAATGCGTTAATGCCTCCTAAGCTATGCATGGAGTTCACATACGAACTAATGCGTTGCATGTTGAACATGTATGACAAGTTTCAAGTAAGGTATGATTGTACTCACCATAAAAAGAATGGAGGAAACATTGATGCAATACCCAGGAAGGCGGTCTTTCCAGGTTAACTTCTCTATCGCAACCTAACAGGAATGATAATAGTTGTAAGGCTAACCCATGTGGAACTTTAAACTCCCCCCAAAAAGCCAAAGACAAAATCTGCTTGTGTCACATGTCTATCGATGGCGAACTGACGCCTTCCCATCTTTTATTCACATTAGGGCTCGTCACTATGTGCTCGAAATCCACATTCTCAGTGTGGACAAGCTCAGGCAGAGGCACATTGGAATTCCACACATTCACGATTGTGGAAGAGAGAAGTCAAATTTGAAGACTTTTGTTAGTGAGGCGTTGGCGCCATCTAGTGGACAAGCGAGCTCAATGCAGTTTTTTGCGTGGGGGGGGGCACAAGCTTCCCCACGTTCACAATACAGTAAAGCAGCGATAAAAGGGCCAATTTACGTTATTCGTCAGTCATTCGAAGGCAACACAAAATGCAAATTTAGGGTCAGTAAAAAAAAAAAAAATTCAAAAAAAAAGAAAAACCTCCAATTATTTTCTTCCTGATCCAACTGCACATTTCTTCCCCCCGTGTAATATATCAAACGTGCGTGGATGTGTGAGGAGAGAGATGTGTGTCACCATAGTGACGGTCACTAATCTTACCTCTGGCTCCCTGCCCAGCATGCATCACTCCCACTCAGCCGCCCTCCCTCTGTTTCTCACCATCCCTCGACTATGCCTTTTTTTTTTTTTTTACTTGAATCTCCCTGTATCTTCTTCAAAATCTTCTTTTTTTTATGCAGTCAGACAAGTCTTGTTGATTAGAATTTTCACTAGAAAGCCAGATGTTAATCATCCATATATGATTTGGATTGGACCAAATTATTCGATGAGCACCTGCTTCATGTGACAGAATTCTGCTCATAATAATATGAACAGCCTTCCTCACAAGGGTCGCGGGGCGTGCTGGAGCCTATCCCAGCTGTCTTCGGGTAGTAGGCGGGGGACACCCTGAACCGGTTGCCAGCCAATCGCAGGGCACACATAGACGAATAACCAACCGCGCTCACACTCACACCTAGGGACAATTTGGAGTGTTCAATCAGACTGCCACGCATGTTTTTGGAATGTGGGAGGAAACCGTAACACCCGGAGAAAACCCACGCAGGCCCGGGGAGAACATGCAAACTCCACACAGGGGGGCCGCAGCTGGAATTGAACCTCTGCACTGTGAGGTCGACGCGCTAACCACTGGACCACCGAATCTGTACATACTGATATAATATTTCTAACTTCTACCAGAGTATTTTGTGTCCGTACCCTCTTCATTAAAGGGTGTGAATAATTTTGCCACCTCAGACACGTTGACATGCTATCTCCTCTTGGCTTGCGAAGCGCGTGCTGATATTTTCGACTCGCTTCCTCTCTTCACAATTGTTGATTCATGTCATCCTCACCGGCTTTCGCGTGGAAAAGCGTCCTTTCACGTAGGTTGAGCGGAACGGCGACGAAGGAGCTTTGCGTTAAAACTAAGGCGACGGAAACTTTTGGCGTCGCATCTGAATGTTGACAAACGGAACGTAAAAGGGCAAGAATCATTTCCCCACCCTAGAGAGTACTGGCCAGTTGGAACGACATCCGAAACAACCCCCCGGATGAAAAGTGACACAACTGGGTCACGTTATATAAAGCAGCCGCTCTATTTGCTTTTATTAGTGCGCAGACCTCGAAGACGCTTGTTTGGTTCAGCATTGAGCCAGTCAAGCAAGTCAACAGGATGGGATGGCACAGAGACAAACAGACAACCATTCACACTTGCGCGCACAGCGCCGGCCCACGCGGAAGCAAAATTAGCTTTGGAAGCCTTCTATTTCTGCCAATAACGTTGATCAGTGATCATTCTTACGCATACGGCGAAAAGTGCGGCGTGCAGAATCAATGCCGCGGTACAGTGGAGTTGAGTTTGCATTGAATGTTTAAGAAATGGTTGTTTTTAAATTTCTTCTTACTTTTAAAATTTCCATTGGAATTTTTACTTCAGCAAAGAATGTAAAAAAAACTTATTAATCTTATTTTTGATGAACACTTTTGCATACTATACTACTGTATTTTCCTGTTGGTCATTGTGGTGGTATACATCAAATATATATTTTTTTCAAGTGGTAGTTGCCTGTGAAAAGTAACAAAAATAAAGCGATAATATCCCGTTGCATTTACTGTAAAAGTGTTATCTGGTTTAATATTCTAAAAACGTCAGGAGCAAAACCAAAATAAAATGACATCAAGAAATAAAAATAAGCTCGTGACCTTCGCGAGGAAAAAGTGGATGAGAAAACGGATGGATGGTTCAAAAAATAAGCATGGAATAAAATAAACAATAAAATGTCGAGCAGCAATTTTTTTATAATCAACATAAAATTATTTTATTTTTATTTTATGATATTAACCCTTTGAGGGACAGCGGTTACTACAGTGGACAGCTGATCATGTGATCAGGTCACAGGGTGCATGAAAGGGTTAAAAGTCCAGTGTTGTGGCTTACCATCATATTAAATTCGATCTTTTTTTTTGAAGTGGAGCTCGGTTTATGCCCGCGCACCAGCACACAGACACCCACACACAAGGACAACTTGGGAGTTTATAAGTACGGGTAAGAGATGCAAACTCCTGGCGTAAATACCTGAAAAGCGCAGCAGCCGGAGGATGGAACAGCCAGAGAAGAACGGATAGGCCGCAGCGTGCAGGAGAGGAAATGGGAAGGAAAAGGAAGAGGAAGGAGGGGCGGGGGTTACCGGTGTCCCTGCAGCCATGGCCGAAAGGAGGTTTCTCCTCCATTTGTCCTTCCCTGTCACTGTCCCATCCCCCCTGCTTCACGGACTAAAGGACAGAGGGACAACTAAATGAATTTGTGGGTCTGCATCGTAGCTGTGACAGGAGGGCGTCCGGTGTATGTGGGCCATCCGGGGAGAGACTGACCCAATTCAGAGACAATCTAGATCATTCGCTAATATTACGAAGATAACACTTTCCTACCTGAATCCTTTTCTTCTTCTTCGTCTTCTTGTTTTTTTGCTTCCGCTGCCTCTTCTGGAGAAGGATGGTTTCGTATTTTGGTCTCGGGTGTTCCTACAGGGAAATATTTATCGTGTCATGTTTTGGGCATATTTGAATGTGTGTGCGCGCGCGATGTCGACCTACCTCGTCATCCTCGATGCCGGTCAAATCCCAACTGAAGCTTAAACTGATCTGGCGACGCTTCCAGTGCTCCAGGAACAACACGGCTACGTCCAAACAAAAAGGTGTTGGAATAAAGACGTTTTCATTGCATCATCTCCTCTCCGCTGCTTTCATGAATTCAAATGTTCGCTTAACTTTTTCGGCGACATGAGATCCGCTGCGAGCTTTTTAAAATTCTCTTTCTGCCCTAGTTTGATTTGACGCTCACCCCACAGAGACATGAAGATGGCGAAGAAGACGGTGGCGGGGTTGTCGAACAGGTGCGAGGCTCTGGCCGTGCCGCAGGCCGTGCTCAGCTGCCAGAAGTCGCAGGCTCCGTCGCACAGGGGACACATGGTGAAATTGAGGCGCTCGTCGCACATCTCGAGGCTTCGCGAAAGCAAGGAGGAGGCAGGGTTATGAGAAGACTGATATTTGGACTAAATACCAAAATTGGCCTATTTATCCAATGTGTTCACCTGGGTATGTTTGTGTCCACTGTTGCTACTCCGTAGCCAAACACGATGATTCCCACGATGGAGGCTGGCACGAGCAGCTGGGTGTAAACGCCAAGCCAGGCAAAATACAGGCCGATCTTTTCTCCAAAGTACTTCCTGTAAGGTGAGAAAGTGAAGTTAAGGCCACTACAACTACTGCACTTGATTTTATATGTCAATTGAAGTCAATAAATAAATGGGGCGACAGGGTGGACGACTGGTTAGCATGTCCGCCTCACAGTACAGTGGTGCGGGGTTCGATTCCGGCTCTGGCCTTCCTGTGTGGAGTTTGTTCTACTCCCCCGGGGCTTGCGTGGGTTTTCTCCGGGTACTCCGGTTTCCTCCCACATTCCAAAAACATGCGTAGCAGGTTAATGGAACGCTCTAAATGGTATGGTGTGAGCGCGGATGGTTGTTCATCTATGTGTGCCCTGTGATTGGCTGGCAACCGGTTCAGGGTGTCCCCCATATACTGCCCGAAGACAGCTGGCATAGGCTCCAGCACGCCCGCGACCCTTGTGAGGATAACCGGATGAGAGAATAGATGGCTGCATAAATAAATACATAAGTAATATACAGCGGCTTATATTATTTATCCCCTGCAAAGAACAAGGACAATATCGCAGCTTACTTTGACCGCCTCCATGTATACGCACAATGTCGACTTGTAGCAAAAAAAAAACAGTGACAAAAATGATAGCATTCTTCATGTTAGATTTATGAATGGCAATATTATAGACTCCTAGTTTTCTTCATCAAAAATAAGCGGAGGGGCGCCATGGAACGGATTCAGAGCATCTCCAATCATTTCAATGGGAAAAGATGATTTGAGATACAAATGGGCCAAATTTATATCATAAAATTTCTTTTTTTTTTTTAATTGTTAGAAATAACATGAAGAGTATAACAAGTATGACAATCACTTTTGAGTGAATTACTGATTTGGAATAAAATACCTGACAGTTTCTGAAAAAGTTTTTGCACCAGAGGAAACATATAAGAGTTCACGTTAAGTGATGTCAACGGACATCCGCTTACCTGACCAAATCAATGGGTTGGTATTTGTAGAAGGCCGAGTATCTGGCCCACTCTTCATGGAGAACCTATCAAGACAGACAAGAAGGTGGTGTCAATGTTAACTCTCATCCAAACAATTGAGCAGAGACACTTGGACAGAGAGGTCTTTTTTTTTTTTTTTTTGCGAGGAAGAATTAAGAAAACACAAAGCGGAGGACGAAAATTGTACGATATGTGAAAGACAGTTACCTGTCGGTCATTCCTCTCCTCGGGATGTCCAGTGGCATTGTAATCTCCCTGAGGGATACAGAACACAAAATCCAGTAGATATCCTGCATTTGGTTCAGTTTTTGTTCTCGTAATGCTTGAAGGAGAGCCAAAACTTACATCGTGAAGAGGGAAGGCAGCATCGTAGACACCCTTTGCTATCAATGTCGTGATACCTGCAAGAGAGCACGTGTAAAACACGTGTAACTTTCACTGACTGAAATGCGATGTCAAAGTCAAAAGGTAAGCAGAGCTGCGATGAGTTTTGTTGTAAGCGCCGTTTAACATGAGGTAACAACTTCTGATAAGCGGCGCATACTTCATTGCTTGGGGAATTTGGGTATGGTGATGGCTCTCCTTTAAGCACCACACACATAATCGGATGAAGTGCCGCCTCCATGAGTGAAAATGCTTTTATCGTTTTAAGGGGCCGAACCGGTTAATTGTTCGATATTAGCTTCATTCAATATTTTTTTTAACACACTAATTATAACATCGGACAAAGATTTTCCTGATTATTTTCCCGATTTTAATCTCTGTTGTGGAATAATAAAGGACAAAGTATTGTAAAACAGTCTAATCTTCTAGTATGCATCAATGGACAAAAATGTTATTTTAATCATTATTTTCATTCCACTCTTTCATTTAATCAGCCGATATATATTCGATTATGTTTATTGTGACAAATATCAGAATCTGCCTGAAAAAATTCCAAATCGCTTGCTTTTTTCCCCCACATCGGACGCCACTTCGTAGGCCCTCGCATTGTTCAACACCCTAAGCTCCGCCCTCATCATCACGGGAACAAAAGCTGTATTGTACTCGCCATTGGCCCAGAAGCGTGCGGGTCAGTTTACATCCTTGTTCTTGTCAGGCCACACTGCAGGGAAACCAGTGTGACATGATGGTGGCCAGATCAGAGCGCCACATTGTGGTGAGCGTTTGATGTGCACTAGTCGCTGTTTTTGAAAGCTTTTGGCCACCCTGCACCACTTTAGCTGGACTTTTTCGTGTCAGGCAAACTGGGACTGCCGCATTTAGTCTTCTCCGGGCGGGGTGTGGGGGGAGAACTGTCCTGACCTGTGAGCGCGAGCTCCGGACGGCGGCACATCCAAGGACAGACCGACAAGGCCTCTTTCATCAAAGTGAGAAGCCGACGATGAAATGACTCAAAGAGGACTGCGCCGTGATGAGCCAGGCTATTAATGAACCTCACAAGGCTAAAACACACTCTTGAGGTTTCAAGCTGGGCCTGCCCCGTGGACGCGTGACCCACTTGTAGAGGTGGAAGGGAAGCAACAAGCGGGCAGGGGGAGGGAAGCGGAGAGGAGGGGATCTCTGTGTGTTTAGGTGACGAAATGTATCAAGCAAAGAACTAAGGGGAAGGAGGAATTAGGTTAAAGAGAGGCAATTCTATTTTCTGTGCCTCCAGCTTAGGCACGACCCTCCGGCGGACGCCTTCTGCCGCGATGGGCAAAGCCAACCACACACATGGCACATAGCGATTTCTACTACGGTATTTTGGGTTTCATTGGCATCGGGCGGGACTGAGCAAAGTATGGCGGGCTTTGTTCTTGAGCCCCGCCCACTGAGCGTTTTATTGTCAAAGGCCGCCCATGTATTTTTGTTTATACTTATGAAATAATTTGATGATTGATTTTCCCAGCGTTGGTGTCGAGGCAACCTGTTCTGAACGCATCGCATGGGGAGAGCCGACCCTTTCCGTTTTCTCACCAATGGTTTGACAGGTCCGAGCGCAAACAGTCCTCCTCAAGATTTCGTACACCTAAGGCAGAAGACACGTACCATTTTACTCGATTTTGGAGTGAATTCCCCTCCCATCAGCGTGCTGTGATTGCGACACTTACGATGCGGCCCCTTGTGGCGTTGTCAAAGAAGGAGTCTTTCGATGCCACGTTGTACCTGGCGACCACCACACATATTTTTCAGTTGTATTTATCAATGCCAACAAACATCGAGTGTCGAATGTGTGTGCGTGTGTGTGTGTGTGTGTGTGTGTGTGTGTGTGTGTGTGTGTTTTGGTCTCACAGGTGGAGCTTGTCCCGGGAGAAGCAGTGTGTGAGGAACTTTGTGGGTCCGTGGTCCTGAGGGGGCACTTTGGGCTGGAAAGGCTGCTTCAGTTTCCTCCACACGCTGCTCATGCTGCTGCTGAACGCACTTTCCTCTTTAATTTCATAGCGCTGTGGGACACAGTAGAACCCGTATATCAGGAAAAAAAAAAAAAAAAAACGACTCCGCTGAAAGTGAACTGAAAGCACTGTACACAAACAACATCTATATTGCTCTTACCGTTTTGGTTGGGACTTTAATTTTGAGAAACTCCGCTTCCCTGCAAAGCACCGGCCAGGGTGCGTGGAGGCGGGTGAAGCTCAGACCATGAGCCTTCACCTAAAAAACAAACCAGAGTTAAGTAGTTATTAAATACTTCAATATACAGTGCTGGTTTGACACTCTCAAATCATCTTTCCCTGTTGAAATGAATGGAAATGTCAGTAATCCGTTCCCGCCCCGCATTGTACGTCGTCTGGTATGGATGTTGGCCACCAGGTGGCAGGAGAATACAGAGATACAGACACAAACGAAGAAGACTTTCACAAATGAGTTTTATTTGTCAATTTTTGCAGAGGATAAAGAATATATGCCTGCGACTTTACGTCATAGACACATGTTGCTCTGCGCTTTGTGTTCAAACATCTATTTATGATAAGTGATGCTATTTTTTTGTCGTTTTTGCATTGTGTGTTAGCTTTAAGATTGTATTTTATGGAAGGTTCGATGGACCGCAAGCATGAGCCAAACTTGAGATGCTTCTGTACTTTGAATTTTGACCCAGCAGTCCATTATCTGACCTATTTTAAATGTCATCTCAACGTAAACAACCCCACCCACGTCTCACTCTCACTATAACGCCTTCACTTTGGCCCGACCAAGAGAGAATTCGCGCGTTCCTGAAGCGACGCCTGTGGCTGTTTTCAACACTCCTTGCGTGGTGCAGCCTGTTCCTTGGCAGACTGTTTCGCTCCTTTGTCCAACATCATCGTGTCCTGGAAAGCATTGTATGCCTAATAACGTCCCGCTCCGCCGTTGATGAATCATCGTCCCTCGCACCGCAATTATGGAGCGTTTTCCAGATGCCTTTGAAACCTCGCAAATAAGTCATGCGTTCGGATGGAGCGCGTGACTGATTTGTGAATATCATAGTGAGTGACATTGTTTGCAGCCGGAGCGCAAAAGGGGATGGATGGCCAGAGCGCAGGTAACGTTACACTCCTCGGACCCCGATCAGGAGAGGGAGGGGTTGCGGGGGGGCCAACAGCGGAAACCCGATTCCCTTTCTCGACTTGGACGCCCCTGAGATCTTTCACTCTCTCTCAGCCCACCCCCGTCTGCATGACTGTACCTTCTGTACCTGGCAGGCAACGCTTTCAGCCGCTTGATTGACGGGCCGGCTCATTGAACTGCCACTCTCACTGCTCTTGTGTTTCATTATCTCCTCTCTTATCGCATCAGCTACTTCCTCCCTGCTGCTGCTCCATCGGGGAAGCCTACTGGATACCACTCGGCACAAAAAAAAAATAAAAAATAATATTTGGGCTTTCTGGTGATGGATCAGGATGAACCTAAAATGCGCTATTTATTGTCCTTAGAGGTGAACCTCATTTGTCTAAAGAAAAACAGTAAAACTGCACATTTAAAAGTGGCCTTTTATTGGGGGGGAGCTGAACTTTATGATTCAATCATAACTAATTTAATAATATCATCACATTCACCGGGGGAGGTGGGGAGATGCGCTGATCTAGGAGGGGGGGTAGGGGTGATCATTTGGGCGACAGCGTGTCGCTAAGTGGGAGGCGGGAGTCAAGGAAACGTTGACTGTGAAAATGACGGATGCACAGCAGGTGTGAGGCGCTTGAACGGATCATATAAAGGGCGAGGTATAATCCGTAAAGTTGCGAAAAGAATGTGCATCCGCCGCAGGAAAATTGACAGCATCTCACTAACGAGAACTCTTTAGGATATTGAGTAACTTGATGTGATCTAAGAGATTGACGATAATAATTCTGAGATGCGGTAAACAAGTTTGCCGTTCAAGTCGTTCCAATTTTCAGTGGTAGGATTAAGAAGCGCTCTCGAAAGAAGAAAAAAAATCAAATCTTTCATTGAAAATAAGTTCAACAGAAAGGTTTGTGATATGCCTCAAGATGCCACAATATGGCACCCGAAGCAAATTCGCTCTTCGTCGCTTTCTCTCGTCATTCATTTTCAAGAAACGGCTCGAAAACGACAACGACGAGGCACATCATGCGCCATGGCAACCCGGCGATCTTGAATAATATTTTACAATCTGGGACATTTCTCCCCGTGGGTTAGCATTAGCTCTTCTGAGTAATTAGCTTTAGCATTGACGAACACCTATCGACTAGTTTGTTGAAATCGACTAGGAATGAATTCAACACTAATATGCAAGTGCACTGTTTGTTATCGGGTTCATGTCATGCCTTCTCCCAAAAAAATTAAAATTCAACGTCCGTGAGAGCAAAGGACTAAGAACTCTTGCTATTTCGACCACTCGTCCTTCTACGTGCCAGCACCTACCGGAGGCACATCAACAGCTGAGGGGGTGTAATTATGTTTGTCAGTCATTCCGTAAGAGTACCCCCCCTCCCCCACCACTATATTCAAATGAAGGAGTGTAATTATGTTTGTCAGACGCCCTGAAAGAATATCCTGTTCTATATAGTCAAAGGAGGGAATGAAAATCTCCATGATGGCTGCTTTTGGCCGTTGAGTACATCAATCGGCGATCCATGAGATAAAATAAGGCGCCATCGGGAAGCTAACCTGATCCGAGATTAAAGTTCTATCTATCCAATGGTAATCTGATTAATGATTGCCTGCAGACGTCACATCACCAAGTAGCGGACGCACTTATGGCTTCCAAATATGACTCGTGGCAGCCGCCATAACGGCTCTTTTCGGCGTGAGCAGGCGACGGCGTGACAGAACTTTCACAATCGCCACGTTTGTAGCACCGTAGGCCACAGGCCCGCTCCAACAACGACAACAACGGCGGGCGGGTGTTCTGCCAAGCGCCTACAGCGCACGCCATCACTCTCACACACGAGCCCGAACCAAAACGCCCGACCTCGACACAGGCGCGGTGGAAGGATGCCTGAATGTCAAAATCTAAATGAGCCGCTTCGCGGGGTAAATTAGGCGAGTGGTACGGAAGAGGGCACAGCCAGCAGCTGGCGCAGACACAGCAAGTGGAAGGAGAGGCTTGCCAAATCACGTCTAAATGAGCCGCTTCGCGGGGTAAATTAGGAGTGGTATGGAAGAGGGCACAGCCAGCAGCTGGCGCGGACACAGCAAGTGGAAGGAGAGGCTTGCCAAATCACATTAACTTTGCGAGGAGTGTGAAGAAAGGAGCACACAAAAAAAAAAATGGACCATGTTTCGGCTCAGGTTTTTTTTTTTTTTTTTTTTTTGGGAAGAAGAGATTTGCTTGATGCTGCATACTATTGTGAAGGTTGGCTCGGGCTTATCGTGACTCGTGCCCTACTTCCGCTGGCATGGGCCTACACTGCAGGGGTATTTCCCGTGATGTAAGCTCCTCCCTCCATCTGTAATGTTTGGATTTCCCCCCCCCCCC